AGATTTCACTGGACTCTGCCTCGTGAAACCTTTGCAGATCCAGAGCCGAGCGGCCCGTCGGCTCAAGTAAAAAGAAAACACCACAACTGAAGTTACAAGGTTGTCAAACACAGGTAACGTCACGGCTCCATTGAACAGAGGCCGAGTCATGCCTTCCTTCCTTAATGGCCCTTCTACTGATCTCAGTCTGCATCTCAACTCTCCTCGTTCCAGTGCGTCCTCGTCATGAATGAACCAAAATGGGCTTCGAAAATTCCTCCCCTGTTCTCATAGACGTACACTGAGACCCGCATTCATCTCCTCTCCATGCACCATTAGTCCCAGTGATGAGAGGAAAGAAACAACACTTTCATTAGCAGGTCTGCTCCACTGAGGTGTGGAATGTCCCATGGGTTTCCAACAACAGTGACAGAGAAAGACGGCCTTCATGCGGCCATTGTTGTCCTCAACAAGCTCACTTAGTGTAATGGGCAAGGCTGAGCCTGCTCTTCAAAAGCCGAGGGGCACCGTGCAAGAATAAGAGCAGTCATGCTTAGCCAGATTAGAGATCGAAGTAGAGAAAGTATAATTCATTGTGGTTTGAAAATAATGAGCTCAAAGGGCTCCATTTATAGTGGGACGCAAACTAAAAACTTTACACATCGCTTGTATAAAAAACACATCTTTAAAATTTTACAGAAACAAGAACAAAGTAAAAACATTTTAGTACATTTTCCGTTTTTTTTACAAACTTGTCAGGACACTATGACAAAGACTGACTCTTTCACTTCCAACAAGACCTCGTACATGACTGGACCATGTGTGATCAATGTCGGAAACTGAGGACCAGTTGACAACAGTGGAACCACGATACGTAAATTCACATATTCACGTGTTGTATTTGCAGTCTGCCAAGTGTCAGACAGTTTCTGTTAGCACGTTAGCTCAATCCAACATTATACAAAATTTGTACTCAGAAGCTGGACGATTACATTTTAGCTCAAACCTGCAGCTCCTCTGTCATTGTCTTAAAAAGTTCAGGTTTGCATGTCTGAATAACAGACGACATAAAGATGGACAGCTCCTGAAAAGTGAGGCCAAGCATGTTCATCGCCTCCTAGTGGCTGGCTGCAGTATATATAGACACAGGTGTGGAGGTGACAAAGCAGCTGAGAGTGAACCATCATCTTCATATGTAAACCACTAACTCGTATCTCTCATGTCAGTTACAGACAGCTTTTCCTCAATGAACTATAAACTCTTTGTTTCCAGTCTTTAGATCCCGTCAGGAGCCCAGTTCTACCATAACAACAACTGAGTCAAGAAACAAGCCAATATAAATCGATTGAGCCCAGCAGCTGGAAGGGGAGCCATTCAATTGAATATGTGGAGAGGTTTAGACAATAACAACTACTATCCCGTCCAGGAGAGCAGAGGTTAGTGTGATGCACGCCCATCTTGAAAACCCCCGGACTTCACAGAAAGCAAGCTAAACTGTGAGCTGGAGAACGAAGTATGATATCAGGACCGAAACAGTAAAGATGCTTTTCAGGCACAGCAAGAAGGAATGACGACCACAGACACGCTAATGGTGCAACTCTGGCTGGAAAAAACGGTTTGTATTAAAACAACTTGACTGTTGAAGGGAAGCGATCAGGTACAATGTTATGGTGTATCGGCCCTAAAGAAGTCTTCCAACTGAGACCTACTTTAATGGTGCTTTTCAAATCTTCTACCGCTGCTGCACAAGCGAAATCATCCCTGGGCTGTCTGACCTCAAAACAACGAAACAGCAGAGCAAGCATTTGGATTCTTACTGTTTCGTCTGTTTGTTGGTTGGTCGCCAGTGTCTGGGAGCCATTTCTGCATCTGTATATGTTGTTGTATTTTCTTTCCACTATTTATGTTGGGTTTAATTTAATGGTGGACTCACGGACAATCGTAATAGAGATTGATGCCTTTTAACTCTTGGCACTTTTTATTTTATGTTGGGAAAATATTATTTGTAAAATAAGTATTTTTATGATCCAATGCTTGAATGAAATTATTGAAAGATTAACGGTAGAAGTTATGGTCATTATTTACAGGTAAGTGAACCAAAGAATGAATCGACTGAATTGAAATTTTAAATAAATTATGATTAGATGAATCAACTAATCTCAACTAAGAAATAATCATTGGTTTCAGCCTTAAATATGTGTTTCACCTGAACAAAGCAATGAGGAAGGTTTCTCACTGCTTCAAAAGAAGATTTTTTTTATTTTCCATTTTCCTCCCGCTTTCCTTTACGCTCCGTTTCATGCCAAATACAAATTGCCAGTGAAAACATTACAGAGACTATTACAGACCACAGATACTGTTCTCTGGCTGCAGCCTGATTTAACAGCACTTTCAGTCAAGAATGGCGGCTGAGGCGGCAGCGTCGTTTCACCAAGCGGGTATCTCACTCATCACACTCTATCTAGACATCACACACATGAGTTGAGCTAAAAGGTTATAAATGGAGCTGCCTTTTTCAACTACAGGGAAAAAACGTGAAAAAAAAGTGTTTACGGAGGTATTAAACAGGCGGCTTCCAGCCAGCAGGGTCAGGGCGTCCATCAAGCTGCTGTTGATTAGATTGAAACTGAGTGTGGAAGTTATGAAGTGCCAAGCCGTGTGCTTGTTGGTGCAGTGTCAGGGTAGAGGTTGTTTCGAGGACACTAGGATTCATTATTGAGCCTTAGTGGACCCAGTTCAATGAAAGCTGAGCTGACGAGAGGTTTTCTCCTGTTGAAAATCCCAGTTTCAGCCGCTCAAGCATCCATCACAGCCAGTTGAATATCTATACGAAATTAGCTGTTTGTCAGTGTCTGTCAATGGGCCACGAAAGAATCTGAACTAAAGGGACAGATCCAGGATTTTTTGTTTCCACTTTCATAAACATGGAAAAATGGTTCATGATTTGATATTTTCAACAATTTCCCAAAGAAATATTTTTACCAATTGAGTGGTAAACATTTGTGAAGTCAGTGTAACAAAACTGATTGAAAATAACTGAGGGAATCTGAAAAATGAGATCATTTTTACATTTGAAGTTTTTGATCGCACGCTGAGTTGATTATACATTAACACTGTAAATTGATTTCCATTTAACTCCCTCTGCAAAAAGTAACAAATGTATGTTATTTTTATATTGGACTATTTATATATGATCCTGAATGATTGCATGCATCCCCCATTATTCCTCTACAAGTCCAGATAATGGTAATAAATGTGCTGCTGGGTGGTTTAGGCACAGACTCTCAGTCTGGCAGGCCAACAAGGCCTTCTTTAAAATAACAGTATTTTAAGCTTCTGGGTGTTAGAGTAAATGGTCATATGTAATCCCCTTAGCCCCCCAACCAACATTAGCAGAAATTCCTCAATAATACGCGACATGATTTCACAGTGACGGCTGCCTGTGAGAGATGTTTGTAATGCTGAAGAGGTCACGCAGGCCACAGACGGACAGACACACCGGCAGACAAGGCGACTTAAGTGTGTTGAGGAACAAGGTTCCCTTTTTTTTCTGGGGATTTCAGACTCGAGTCATTAGGATCCATTTTTCCTTAATAACAAAGGACGTGGTGGAGCACGGCTGAGTGTTTGTACAGCTGATTAACACCAAACCTCTGAGTTATGAGAAAACTACACACCACCACTAAGAGAAAAATCACAAATCGGAATTACACGTCTGGTATTCGCCGTTCGTAATCTTAGTCTCCTCAGCTGGAATAATTCAGGAGATGCGAGGCCTCTTCAGCGGAGCAGTCGTGGGTTTACAGAAACAGACCGAACCCGCCCGTTGTGCCACGTGGTAACGCATCAGTTCAAACCCATGGCACACACTGGATGTATCACTCACACAGAATATGTCAACATGGGACAGTAACAGGATGTGTTGATCTGTGGAATCACTTAGGGATGCACCAGTCCAACATTTTCTCCCCTGTTCCGACTCTGTTTAACAAACTCAGCCAATACCAAAGTACCAATCCAATAACAGTATGTTTTCCCCCAAATGAAAACTATGTTAACGTGTCCATGTGGAGGTGATTAAGACACAAATACAAGTTCCTCAATATGGATACATATCATACACCAATGTCCTTTTAGGGTTTACATTTTAATTACAGCCTAAAGTTTAGAAAAACAACATCTTCAACCTCAAATACACCAACTCGTCTAAAAGTTTGTGTTACATTACAAACTTTTATTGATGGATAAGTGGTTTAGCGTACGGCAATTTCCCCATTACATAAAGACACGAGGGACGGCTAAGTGATGCAAATGTCTTTATCAGAGGGTGCAGGGTTCCTTGCAGGTGTTGAAATGTCACTACATTAGCTAATTGTGCAGAAAGGAGCTGGTAGATTCCATAGTTGCAGGACACATCATTTGTTCACATCTGGCAGAAGCCTGATAAGCTTGATAAAGTCAGTATCAACCCTCAAATGAAGACGAGCAGCTTTCTCAATCACGAGAAATAAAACAGGAGGATATCCTGCATGTTAACCTACTTTTTAAATCTGAACCAACCTTAACCCTCAGCAGTCGACTGGGCCAAAAGTAATCATGACCTCAGCTAAATCCAACCTGCAACCACAGCAGGGAGCAATATGGGATGCATCATTTCAACATGAGGGAAGAGAAGAAATCTCCACACAAGAAAAGAAAAACTCCAAGTCATATGATGTGCACCACCAACCAAATGTTCTAACATTTCATCACACCAGATGACATGTAAGTGAAGTTTTGCTAAAAATGGGGCCACATTAAACTTCAATAGCTAATTCCAAGAAAAACGTCCATACAATTCTGAGCATTAGACAGAATTATGAATTCTCAACCAACCATTTCTTTCTTTGTCATTACAACAGAGATATCTTCATGTGAGGTGCCACAGAAACATGCATGTGGTTGCAAACTTTTCTTAAAGTATGATTCCTAGAACCAGGTAAACCACAGGTCTGAATCAACCAGCGCAGTTTCAAACTCACCTGGGAGAAGTTGAGCCCGTTGAGTGGGTGACACTGTTCCTCCACCTTCTCCACAGCCCCCGTCCTCTTCCTCATCCTCTCTGCCTCCTGGGCCAGGTAAAGGTCCAGCACCGGCACCCCCCGCGTCTTAATGTCCGCCTCGGTTAATGAGTTCACCATCAGCATCACCCAAACTGGTCGCTTCCTCTCCCAGTTCCCAGCGATGGCGTTGAACAGGTAGTCAGCATACAGTCCCTTCCCCCTCTGATCCGGCGTCATCCACGACGGCATCATGAGCTTCACGTACTCGAGGTGTCTCTTGAGTCTCCGATAAATGTCTCTGGGCAGGACGTCCTGCAGGTTCTCGCCCTGAGGGAGCAGCTGGCAGCTGGTCAGGGCTGAGATGGTGTAAGGGTCCGTCAGGTCCAGCTCGAAGTAGACAATGTTGCTCTCCTGGAAGGCCTGCTTGGAGTTTTCAGGGATGTAGTCCCAGACGCGCGTGTAGGGAACGTGGATGGTACCATAGAAATATGAAGGAGGATCCCGTTTGATCGTCCACAGGAAGGAGTTCAGGTCAGTTTGCTGGAGGAGAAGATGAAAACAATGATTGATGATTATTAATCGTTTCATGGCTTCCTAGACATTCAAAAATAAGTACATTTACTTTGCCCAGGGTGTAGATTCACATTCAGACACACTGACACTGAAATAAAACACAAAAAAGCATTTTAAGGATCTGAAATAAATGTTCGAGTTGGAAACATTTGGAAGTAATGGAAGTAGAGAAATGAAGAAACAACATGGAGAAAGGTGAAAAACTCCTTCATCACTTATTAGCTTCTTCTGGTCATTTACTTGTAATGTGAAGTGTCACTGGGCCTGTCTGACACCAACCAGTAAAACAACACTTTGGGTCTGTGAGGGAGTTTAGTGGACACATTACTAACAGCCACATAATGACTTATTAACAGGCCACTTAGGACCCAAGTGCCAAACAAACAATACACATGTCAGAGACTATCAGACTTTGCGCTGTTACCGAGAATGTTCTAATTATTAAATATAATAATATAAATATAACGCACATGTGGGGAACTTGATAAAGACTGAGCGGTGATCAATACAACTGAGGTTAAGAAATCACATTCTTATTTAATACCAAAAAGAACTCTATAGAGTGGATTTGATGTCCCTGTAGTAAACTCAGATGAACGGACAGTAGGTGTATGTTGCACAAAAGCAAATACACAAAACTAGTGCGGCCCAAAAAGTGAACACTGACATTCATACCCAGCTTTTTAGTTCATTGTTTCATTTAAAAAGAGGATTGGATGTATTTGAATAACTTTGTTGGGTCTTTGGACTGAATCTGAAGATGACACCTGTGGGATCTTGTGATTGGCATTTTGGACTATTTGTGCCACATACAAGTAGATGAATAAACAAACTGTTACAGAACTTGATTAAGCAAAACCAAGACTTTCCTCCAGACGGATTTAACTGATTTCACCATTCACTTGCACTGGATGCATTCTGGTTGCATTGTGGGAAACCGGTTAAATGATAAAAAATTTCAAAAAATAGTAACACAGGAGGAGATGCAGGGGGAGGTAAAGAGGGTAAATGGGACCTCAGGGCTCCTGTACTGACAAACCTTCATTGAACTACAGGAGAATAAAAGATGATGTGGCTTCTCTGGGGTAAAACTCACAGTGAGAAACCATCACAGCTACAAGGAACGTGATTTCACGGTGACTTACTTTCTTGTTCAGCTCGCAGTTGGCGGAGTCCTTCAGCCTCCACTGGTCTGCTCGGACCAGCAGCAGCAGCAGACAGGACTGAATGAATGCGCCCAAAGTTGCCCGCATCGTAGCTCTCCGCTCCCTCTCCGTCTCCAAACTTTCGCTTCACAACGTGCTGCTGCTGCTACTTCTTCCACAGCCGCGGCTCCATGCGGTCGCGTAAAACGAGCTGACAAGTATCCGACAAACCGCCGGACAGAGTCATGCTGCTGCCTTCAGCCATGGACGCACCAGCGCTGCAGCTTCACGTGTGTCTGGGAGAGGGAGAGGTGGTCATCTGGGGGTTTACGCACGGTCACACTGCTTCTCTCTCCACACACACACACACACACACACACTCACTCACCTCTCTCTGTGAGAGTGCATTGTCTTCCTCAGGAGTGTATCCAAAAGTTTAAGTGAGCCAAAATGGATCAACAGGTCCACGACGCGTCAACGCACCTGAAGCCACATTACAGGAAGTTTGTCTCCTTCTTGTTTGTTAGTTTTTGGCACCGGTTGTTCTGTTACTGAGGATGCGTTTGCGCAAACTTTACAGGCGAGGGGTAAAAAAAACAACCTGCAAACCAAACTTCTTCGTACTCTGCTCGGTCTGCCTGCCAAGTCCTCACTGTTTGTATCTGCCTCTCTCTGTCTCTCTCACTCTCTCTCTCTCACTCCGAAGTGTGTGTGTGCGAGCGTGCGTAATTGTGCGTGCGTCAGGCAACTCCTCTACCCCTTGGGTTGCCCCCTCTCTCTCTCCCTCCCTCCCTCTCTTGCTCTCTCTCACACACACACGCAGCAGTAACATGATTAAACAACACCCCACCCCGATGCGTAAAGTCCCATTTGCACCATTATAACTGAAGGTGTTAGACCATCAGGATTATGGGAGAATAACACCTCCGATTAATGCCAATATTTGACCAATATCCTCCTGATTGATAAGCTTGTAGTCCTGATACCAACTCATACTATCTCACCCGTTTCTTACTTCTAGTTTCAGACGTGTCCTCTTGTTGTCACCCTATGGGAGGCCCACAGACAACCCCGGGTGCCAGTGGAGATCCCGTGGATAGATTATCATACCCCTGGTAGTTAATGCCTTACAAACTGGAGGCATTAACATGAGAAAACCAGCAATAACAGCGCCTGTTACTCTGCCACACATCCGAGCACAGACATGGGAACCACAGAACAACTCCACCGTGTTTAACGAGGAGCAGCAGCAGCTGGGCCCGGGCAGGTCGTTCACCATGTGTTGACCAAATGTAGTTTATTCCTTCTGCAGATTTTCTTTGTAAAATCTCCTTATATTCTTTCATGGACTCTAATGATTTGGCGCTTAAAGTTGAACTGAACTGAATATCTTTTATTTCAGTTCATTCATTTTTTGCCATGGATTCAGTAAGGGCCTTTGTAACCTTGTTTAGATAAGTGCTAAACAAATATAAAGTTATTGTTTGTAGCCTATAAATGCTGTGGTCTCAGTTGTAATACAATACATATTCTTACTTTTATCTTAATTATTTATTTTATTCCGATGCAGGATCTTTGTAAGCCTATTTTCCTTGCATCAATGGATGTGTTAAAGATGCATCACTATTTATACTGACATATATAAACTAAATATATGCTATCATGACTTTTTCCAGTATGAAGACAACCACCAGCTGCAGAAATTAAAGTAAAAATATTTAATTTTCTACTAATGAAAACCGTATTGATGCAGCATTAGACTGCACTCTGATGAAGGCATGGATATAAAAAAGTCCTCGGGTCATTTTAAAGATCACACACGGGGTGTATCTGCTCCAGGAGGCCGGTCTATGCGCTCTGGTTCTACGCCGCGCACCGTCCCACGTCCTGGCGCGCAGGAGGGGGAGGACGGGGGGGGCAGCGAGCACATGTCTGTGTCGTCAAACGTCTGAGTAAATACAAACCTGTTTGTTTACGCAGAGAAAGAATCTCCGCTGTTTGCAGACACACAACAACAAGAGCTGGTGGAGCGACGACGAGGCTGCGGCACGAGGAGGAGAAACTCATTCATTTACTGTTAACGAACTCAAATAGAAACGTGCACTGTGACACGTTTATGAATGGAAATTGTTTAGTGTTAAAATGCATATGCACAATCTAAAGAGCAGGTTTAAAATGTTAATGAGCAAATTAATGTGAAATATGGACACTTCGTTATCAGGCAATCCAACTTTACAGAGATCTCATACAGCTCCCCCTGGTGGAAAAGGTTATGTTCTCCAGCTCTGCTCACTCTTCTTCTATTTAGTTAAAACTGAAGCTGCTCTGAGTTTATAACAGGCTCAGTGATTCATTGTGATTTCTGTAAGACTAAGAACGAATAAGAGGAGGCAGGAGGAGAGGATGGAGGCTGCAAAGCGTCTCTCCGACATCCACAGACTGCAGAGGTGGCTCCTCTGTCTTCACTGTCTGAACCTGCACAGGCCACATTGGTGTCAAAAACATTTGTTCCTAAAAATGTGTCCTTCAGATCCGACCTTTTGACCCTCGTCACTCCTCACACACAGAAAATCAATATCTTCACACACAAATTTATATTCATCAAGTGGAGAAAATGTCAGTTGTCTTTAAACAGCTTACTCTAAATGTCTTCTGCTCAGAGTCCATGAATCTGTGCTGCTGAGACGTACGATGAAATTACAAAAACATCATGATGGTTGTGAACTGGTTGTCTAAGAGCGAGTGTGAGTGTGTGAGTGTGTGTGTGTCCAATTTCCGTTTCTCAACCTTATCAAACATTAAAGAGGAAGCAGCTGCAGGTGTTCGTTTTACCTTCATACAAAGGCACAAACACAGATGAGCATTACAACACACACACACACACACACACACACACACACACACACACACACACACACACACACACACACACACAGGGAAACAGCGAGACACTCACACCTGTTTTTTATTTCCATTATCCCACCATTCAGCCCACAGAGGCTGTTTCATATAAATACTTATCCCACATCCTCTCCGGCTCTGTGTGTATATGTCACATATGTCTGAGGTAAAAACCTGTTACCTGCTGCTTTATACGTCATCATTTGCTCTTCACAGCAAATTGAAACCACACATTTCACTCAAACTATAGACGCAGGGTCAGGAGGAAGTCGTGGGGTCAAGTTTCAGGGTCAGGAATTCACTAACCGGCAACATCACCCTGTCGCATATTAGATCAAATATGTCCCAGAAGTCTGAACCCATATGACACACACACAGATGGTGCTGATGAGTAAAAGAAAAGTATGTTCTGGTCATACCCTTTTTTAAATGAAGGTTACCTTAAGGTGGACGACTATCACAGATCACAAAATAACACTTGAACATGCATCAGTGTGATCATCTGAAATGACATAAAACATCTTTGAAAAAAAGCATCTATTTACTTTTTAGTTTGGCTGATGCCCCATCCACTAACATGGAGGATGTAGGGTATATGAATACTGCAGCCAGCCAGTGGACGGGATGATGTGGCTTCACTTTTGGGGAGCTGTCGTCCTTCTTTATACAAACCATTACCTGCTTTGTAACTCATCATATAAGTACCTTGGTTTCCCACGTTTTATTATTTCTTTCCGTTTTGTCTTTGAATTATTTTGACTGAAGTCTGTGTTTGCACGACCCTCAACATGTTACATTACGTCAAAATATATAAACTGACACTAGCAGCTGTTTTCCTTCAGCAGTTTGTGTTTGAAGCATGTTTCAGTGACCTCGCAGTGATACGAGCGTGCATCTGTACATTTCCACTTTAAAGTGTCTGTGAGGATCAAACAGAACCAGGGTCCTCTGAGGTGTCTCGTTCTGTCTCTTTAGAAAAATCTTCAAAAGGATTTCACACTGTGAAATCACCACTTATTGTTTCACTGCACTTACATCCTTTGAAATTATTCCTGACAGATTTTAATGTGGACGTTCTGCATCGTATCAGACACATGGTTGGCTGAGAGGTAAATATTGTACATTTGTTCTTCATGGTTGTGTTTAACAGGTTTGTGTTTTCAGTGCATTTTCACCTTCCTTTACTTCTCACAGCCAAACTGAACTGTGATAGTGAAAGGTTTCAGACGTATAACCACCCTCATAATTTTAATCATTAATGTTATTTCTGAACATTTTGTTATTTGCATCCTAATTAGTCTTTTTAGAAACTATCTGTGAAGCTGGTGTTGAGTCTCGTCCTCACTGCTTCAGGCAGAATACACATCCACCTGGAATACACGTATCTTTGTGGATCAGACATCACTGCTGCAGAAGAAAACTGCTTTAACTCCAATCAACCAGACAAAACACTCACAAGAATATACATTTAGAAATGTCACGGCTGACAGAGAGAGCGTGATCTCTCAGTAAGAAAAGTAAAAGAATAGATCATCTTGCCAGAAAGTATCGTATGGTCACTTGGAGACTCAGTCCATCTAATCATCCAGAGACTCAGTCCAGTTTGGCATCACCGGTCCAGTGAGAGTTTCTGTCAAAACCTGTCAGCCTGCAAAGTGTAACACGGCAGCGTTGTCAGAGGCAGACGTCAAATTGGTTCTGTTGATACATGAAAGCCGACACTGATTGTTGACAGGTGTCTGGCCAGACTTTCACCAACAAGGCATGTCCAGACATGAACTCCGGAAGAATGTCCACACAATGGGATCTGGACTTTCTCCGGACTTTGCCTTTCGCACCTGAAAAACTCAGCAGGAAGCAGGACGTCACGTGTAAATTCTGCTGCAGAGCAAATCTCCTGCCGTATTCTCACATGGGCTCATTCAGACATTATTCAGAGTTTTTACAAGGGGGCTGGCAGGAGAAAGTCCAGAGAATGTCCACAGCAAGTGACTTGGACATTTGCATTCTACATGTGCAGCTGCAGAGAGAGCAGGCTGCACAGGAGACACAGAGGAGGAGTGACTTTCTGTGAACTACCAGGTGAATGATAACATGAGGATTGAACGCTGCCACTACACTGACTATTACCTGCCATCAAATAAAAGATCAAAACACCAGTGTGTGATACCTCATCGTGAAAATCCTGATTTGGGATCAGCTTCCTGCTCGAGGAAGTTTTGTTAATCTCCCACAACCACAACACTGAGACGTCTTACTGTTTGTGTAAACCGCACCGGGTTACCCTCGGTTGAATGTGTTATACAGGACAAATGTTGATCTTTGTAATCTGAGTAAATAGAGACTTCCTGAAATTTCCTGTCTCTGAAGTGAGTCAGAGACAAAACTGGATTTTGATAATTATCTTAACAGTATTCATTCTGGAGCTTTTTTAAAAAATCAGACGCAATAAAACAATCGCAGGAGATTTGACGTCTGTAATGACGTCGTCTTTTTTTCGAGATGATGATGATGAATTCTCTAAATGATGTTTTTGTGCTGCTTACAGTAATCCCATCTATTCTAATCTGTGCCTTCCCGACAAAGGAGAACAAACCTTGGAGATAACTTGGCTCCAGTGTGTTTCCTGCAGGGATGCAAACCACATGATTGGTGTTTTTGATATTCACGACACGTTCAGTTTTCTGCTTCTTGTAAACATCTGCAGCGTCATGTTTCAAACACAAACTTGACATTAATGGCAAACGACACGCCGCCTGGAGAAGGCGTGACTGCTGGGTTAGCTGTGATGGAAGTGGTCGTGTGACTGGGCC